TTCCACATTCGCATCACATGTTATGTTTATATCACATAAACAGAAACGTTGAGGCAAACGCGTCAAAATTCTTGGGTAACACCAAGTTGGGTATACTGTTCCGGAGGACGGTGTGGGCAAAATTAGTCGAATCTGAGACTGAGGAAGAATACGAATGCAACTATAGCGAGATAGTTAGTTTGTACGGGCAATATCAGAAGCTGATAACTTACATCAATGAAACGTGGTTGATTTATAAGGAGAGATTTGTTAAGTGTTGGACCAACAACATCGTTCATTTCGGTAACACGACGACTAACAGGTATATAAATTGATTTTACTATAAACTCGTTACGTACAATCTTTTATACACATGTTACATTTATTCATTATTTGAGTGTTTTCTCGAAACAGAGTAGAGAGTGCACATCGTGCATCGAAGCGTTGGATCCAAACATCGACTGGAGCTATGGATACAGTTCAAAAAATGCACTAGATGCGCAAGTTGACCTTCAAATTAATGAATTGAAGGTGAAAAACGAAAGCAGTAGAACAGTCAGGATGTACAGTACTTCACTGTCGTGCTTCGTGCGTTTAATGAATTGGTTTTTTTAAATTAATGAATTGGTTCGATACAACATAATTATAATCCGTACAAATAACTAAATAACTAAATACGGGCAAATAAGAAATATCCGCAAATCCAAAATGAAACATCCGTACAAAAAACTAAATCCGAAAACAAACAACAAATCCGATAACATGTACTACTGTCCACCCCTCGACCCCCGACCCCGAGTCCTCGGACCTCCCCCGCGACCTCTCCTAGGTAAGAGACGCAAATAGTGGGCATGTGGCGTCAACAAGTCCCTCAACTGCGGCTGAATGCTCAGGAATGCCTCTGCTGCGTCGTCACCAGTCAAACCGAACACGATCGGAACTAGGAGCCGAGCTATATCGTTGGCGAACGGCTGGTCTGGACTCTTCCAAACTGCCGCAACGCTCGGTCGGGCATGTACGGCTCCACTATATCCATGAACTGTATCGTGCCATAATACATGCTCCGAGGGTGTAAGTAATGTGCACCGGTACCATACGGGGTCCAACAAACCTAAGCATATGAACGGGAAAGAGGTGGTCGAAAGCAGGGGAAATGCTCAAAGATCCAGCACTGCAAACAAACACCAATGAATAAATAAATAAAATAGAAGTTTAAATAAATAAATAATTACTAATAAAGGAACACGTACCAGAAGGAGAATTACACATCCACAGAGACTGTTCATCCCAGCGCGGGTGGCAATACCCAATTGGCGGTACATGTTTGCTAAGCATGCCGAAGCCCACGAATACTTGCCGACATTATCGAGATCGTTGGTAAAATGGATCCACCACGGCTTTATGTTAGACGCTGTTTTGTCTACAAACAAAACAGACCCAAGCAGAAACATCAAGTAGCCCTTCATCTTCTTGTCGTCTGTGGCGCAGGGAAGCGTCAACTGATCTCTCACCTTAACCCAACCAACTCCCTTATTTCGAAACATCTCATTGGTGTCCATAAGACCGACACCCAATACAGATGCAAGACTCTGTGAGCACTCTTCTACCGGGCGAATTTCAGACACTGATGGTCCGTCCAGCCGCAACGCCAGGATGAAAGCGACATCGTGGAGCGTGATCGTCATCTCGCCCCATGGCATGTGGAAACTGTTCGTCTCCGGCTGCCACCTCTCCACGAAAGCTAGCATGAGGTTCTTGTTCATCCTCTTCAGAAAACAGTCTCGTAAGTGGTAAAGACCTGTTGCCTCCAACCTCGCAATCATCGTGTTATCCTGCGGGCCGCGGTAGTCCTCCAGTGCTCTGGTCCTCGACTCGCACCGTGTAGTTTCACGGCGCTCCTGAAAAATATTGCATGTATTGTTACCTAAAAAAAATGAATAATATAAGAATTATGTAAAGCACGTGTTGACAGAAAAACTTACATATCCTTCCCAAATGTACATCGCTATATGCGACTTGAACCATCGCATAAACTCTAAATTTTGCGGCCCTCCCTCGCACGGACCCTCCAAGTACGCAGGACCAGGCAGCTGCGGAAAGGGTAAGGCACGACCACCTCTACGATCCTGAAATGCATCTGCTGGCCCATTCCTCCATCTCCTCGTCAGTATCCATATTATCGTCGTCGGCATGTGGCAATGTACAGGGTCCGGCTCCAGCTACAACAGCTTCTCGTCTCAGTCTCTCTTCTTCCCGCTGTAACGCTGCTTCTCGAGCTAACTGCTTTCTTCTACGCGCGGAAGCAAGGACATCTCGGTCTCCAATGCGATCCGGATCTTCCGGATTGTCCCCCTTCCCACTCAAGGCTTTCATTAAGCTCTTGCCTTTACCGGCAACTTGACTCATAAGACTTTTCCCCCGACCTCCTGCCATCTACATTTTAAATAAGCACTTTATTAATATTTCATATAATAAAAATAAAAAGAATTTAAATAATGAAAAAAAAAAGTGCTCGCATGTTTTTGCACGAGCACACCTTCTAATTAAACTAATTAATTTAATAAAAAAAAAAAAAAAAAAAAAATTAAACACTCGGTGTGAATTTACACGAGCGGAACCACTTCGCTCGTGTAAATTCACACGAGTAAAAATCAAAATCCCATTTTTTACGAAATAAATTAAAAAAAAAAAAAAAAAAAATATTTAAACACTCCACTTCGCTCGTGTAAATTCACACGAGTAAAATCAAACTCCCATTTTTTACGAAATAAATTAAAAAAAAAAAAAAAAAAAAAAAAAAAATTAATACTCGTGTGATTACACGAGCGGACCACTTCGCTCGTGTAAATTCACACGAGTAAAAATCAAACTCCCATTATTTACGAAATAAATTAAAAAAAAAAAAAAAAAAAAAATTATAATTCACACTCGTGGAAT